ACTTTGGGAGGCCAAAATGAGAGAATTGCTTGAGTCAAGGAATTTGAGACCAGCCTGGGCAAGAAAATGAAAAGCCTCTCTAGAAAAAATTTAAATTTTTAAACTTTTTTAAAAAGAAAGAAATTGAAGAGGACACCAAACAAATGAAAAGACATCTCATGCTCATGGAATGGAAGAATTAATACCGTTAAAATACCGCCCAAAGCAATCTATAGATTCAATTCAATCCCTATCAAAATACCAATGTCATTTTTCACAGAAATAGAAAAAAACCTAAAAATTTTATGGAACCACAAAAGAGTTAGAGGAGTAGCCGAAACAATTTTAGGAAAAAAAAAAAAAAAACAAAGCTGGAAGCATCATACTACCTGACTTCAAAATATATTACAAGGCTATAGTAGCCAAACAGCATGGTATTGGTATAAAAATAGACACATAGACCAATGGAACAGAATACAGAACCCAAAAATAAATTTGCAAATTTACTGCCATCTTCAACAAAAATATCAAGAGCATACACTGAGGAAAGGACACCCTCTTCAATATATGGATATCCATATGCATAATAATGAAACCAGACCACTATCTATCTGTTACCATATACAAAAATCAACTCAAAATGGACTAAAAACTGAAACATAAGGCCCAAAACTACAAAACTACTAGATAAAAACATAGGGAAAACACTTCAGGACATTGACCTAGGAGAGATTTTATGACTAAGACCCCAAAAGCACAGAGACCTAAAATAAAATTAGACAAATAGGATTATATTAAACTGAAAAGCTTCACAGCAAAGGAAGGAATCAACAGAATAAAGAGAAAACTTACAGAATGAGAGAAAATATTTGCAAACTATTCATCCAACAAGGGACTAATATCCAGAATATACACAAGGAATTCAAACACCTCAACAATTTTTAAAAATTACATTAAAAAGTGGGCAAATGACATTAATAGACAAAAGAGAAGACATACAAATGGCCAACAGGTATATGAAAGAATGCTGAATATCACTAATCACCCAGGGAAATGCAGATCAAAACCACAATGAGATTTTAACTTACCCCAGTTAGAATGGCTATTGCTACAAACACAAAAAGAGATGCTGTGGAGATGAGGGTGTAGAGAAAAGGGAGCAGCAAGGCCAGCAGTATCCAGAATTTCTCCCAAGCCCACAAGCTCACGTGAACTTTTTTTAATAAAAGCCCCATTCTGGGCCGGGCGCGGTGGCTCAAGCCTGTAATCCCAGCACTTTGGGAGGCCGAGGCGGGTGGATCACGAGGTCAAGAGATCGAGACCATCCTGGTCAACATGGTGAAACCCCGTCTCTACTAAAAAAAAAAAAAAAAAATACAAAAATTCAGCTGGGCATGGTGGTGTGTGCCTGTAATCCCAGCTACTCAGGAGGCTGAGGCAGGAGAATTGCCTGAACCCAGGAGACGGAGGTTGCGGTGAGCCGAGATCGCGCCATTGCACTCCAGCCTGGGTAACAAGAGCGAAACTCCGTCTCAAAAAAAAAAAAAAAGCCCCATTCTTCCCCTTAAATCACTATTTGTGGTACAATCTTCTCACAAATTTCTCTCCAGATTTCATTCAAAGATGGAGCTAATTAAATCCCATGTAGCTTCACCTCTCAATATTTTTTACTTCATTTGTAACAAGGCTTTTTCTCATTGTAATATCATTAAAATGAGGAACATACGGTGGAGCCTTATGTGAGAGACTCCTGAAGTGAATATGACCTTTAACTCTATGTATTTGGATTCTCACTATGTTCTTAACCATCCCCACTTCCATGATCGAAATAATTTTTACAAATTCCATGTCACTGCCTATGTTCTTCTCTGTTTCATCTCTCTTCTCCAAGGTCTAGATAACGTGAACAATTGTTCCTGAAATTGCTAACCTAACTTTTTTTCCCACTAGCTAACCTTGATTGCTTGCCTTTTTTATGCAATAATTTCATTTCTTAATTCCCCTTATTAGCAGTATTTCCAGTTTAACATAGCGACCTAAGGAACATGCTAGACATAGAAAGACATGAGTAAGGTAGGTTCCTTTCCCTTAAGCAGTTCTCAGTCTAACAGCAAAGACATATAAATAACTATGATACAATCTGATGAGGGCACTAGTAGAAGGATAGGCAGCCCAGAGAAAGGAATTATTAACTCAAGCTGGGGGAACAGGGAAGGAAATGAAGGCCTGGTGGCATGAAACAGAGTGGCAGGTTCAGAAACTCCAAGTCCTTCCAGCATCCCAAAGCAAGACATGTAAGAGAAAGACTAACATGAGTGGAAAGTGAATCAATAGGCAGAGGCCAGACCATGAAGATGCTTTTGTATCACGCTAAGGCATTTCCACTTCCTGCAGTAAACAATTTTCTTTATATTTTTTTAGGATTAGTATATAGTTCTAAAAATAAGTTTAGGTTACTTTTCATTCCTCAGTCTTAAGAATTGCTTCAATTTTGTTATAGTTTTTCAGTTCCTTTGTTTAGAAATCAGAGTTGGTAGTCAAAATACTAAAGAGTAAAACCAAATGAATCAGAGAATTGCCACACCACCAAGCAGCGCTGGGCTGTTTACAAGGAAGCCCAGCTATTTCTTCAAAGTCCAGGATCATTCTCTTTGTTTTCATTCCTATTTATAATGATGAAGAAAATATATTGTAAGTAAAATAGTAGCTTAAATCCAAAAGAGAGTGAAAATTGAAGGAAGTGGATCCTTCCTGGTTTATGTAATTTTTCTGTTGAATGTTATTTTAGTTTTTGAAGTTGGCGTGAATACCCACTGATGGTGAATTTCTGTTTCATCAAATGGATACTAATGTCAGGGGAGGGGGCAATTTCCTCTGGTCCTTCCTCCTCATCTGCTTCTTAACCTCTTTCCTGTGCTCAGGCAATCAGCAGCAGTTCTTTGTTGGACACCACTCACCACACTGACAGAGGTCAACAGCCAACTAGGCCCATATCTGGAATTAATTTCATATGTCTTGTTACTTAAGAGAAAATCAAAATGCAGGTCTATTTCTAGATATTAATTCTTAATTGTTTTTCATACAATGAGAAATATTGTTGTAGAAAATAAACTTATTTTAACTAATACTGCTGGAACATTAAGAACATTTACCAAAATAACATACTCTTTTCCTTTTCTATTCTAAAGTCTGTACAGATAGTGCTTTTCTACAGTTTCTACAGATTTGCCCTTCTTCAAGGAATGGTTTAATGGCAAATCAATTTTGCATTTAAATTTCCTCTACATTTAGAATTTTTATTTATTAAAGAGAACTACTGGACATCTTTACTTTTTCATTCACCTTTATGCAAGCATTTACATCAGCGTCATAAGAAATCATAGGTTTAGCTTCCCAGATAAACTTAAAACACAGTGCTTTTGAAAGAGTAATTAGATGGCCGGGTGCGGTGGCTCAAGCCTGTAATCCCAGCACTTTGGGAGGCCGAGGCGGGTGGATCACGAGGTCAAGAGATCAAGACCATCCTGGTCAACATGGTGAAACCCCGTCTCTACTAAAAATACAAAACATTAGCTGGGCATGGTGGCGCGTGCCTGTAATCCCAGCTACTTGGGAGGCTGAGGCAGGAGAATTGCCTGAACCCAGGAGGCGGAGGTTGCGGTGAGCCAAGATCGCGCCATTGCACTCCAGCCTGGGTAACAAGAGCGAAACTGCGTCTCAAAAAAAAAAAAAAAGAAAGAAAGAAAGAAAGAAAGAGTAATTAGAAATAAGAAAGCACTTGACAAATGCTGTTTAATAAATGCCATTTCTCCCATTTTTAATTATTAGGTTGGTATAAATTTTATTTTTGAGAAATTATGTGTCTCTTCTGGGAGCGGTGGCTCACACCTATAATCCCAACACTTTGGGAAGCCAAGGAAGGAGGCTTGCGAGAGCTCAGTGGTTTGAAATCAGCCTGGGCAACATGGCGAAACCTCGCCTCTACAAAATATACAAAATTAGCAGGGTGTGGAGGCACACCCCTATAGTCCCAGCTACGTGGAAGGATCACTTGGGTCCGGGAGGTGGAGGCTATAGTGAGCCAGGATTGTGCCACTGCACTTCAGCCTGGAGGGTGGAGTGAGACCCTCCCTCAAAAAAGAAAAAAGGAAAAGAAAAGAAATTATGCATCTCCTCTTGTCCAGTCATAAAAATTACTGGCTTTTCAAATTATTGTATCTCCTATGTATGTCTTCAATATCTATTAATGGAAATATAGTCACTCAAATGAAATCCTAAAAATGAAACTGCCTTAATTGAAAAAAAAACATGTAAGAAATTGTATTTCTGCTTTAGACATATTGGTGATATTATATGTCTACTAATTTGTAAGGTCACTTTTCCTTTTTCTGAAATGATTTTAAAAATGTATAAATACAGGCTCATACCTGTAATCTTACCACTTTGGGAGGCCAAGGAGGGCAGATCACGAGGTCAGGAGATCAAGACCATCCTGGCTAATACAGTGAAACCCTGTCTCTACTAAAAATACAAAAAATTAGCCAGGCGTGGCTAAAAAAAATCACAGGCATGGCACACGCCTGTAATCCCAGCTACTCAGGAGGCTGAGACAGGAGAATCGCTTGGACCTAGAAGGCGGAGGTTGCAATGAGCTGAGATTGCGCCAGTGCACTACAGCCTAGGCAACAGAGTGACATTCTGTCTCAAAAAATTTTTTTAAGTGTAAATACACATTAAATTAAATTAATTTGAGATTAAGCCATTGGAGATTTTTTCTTTTTTTCTTTTTTTTCATAGACATGGTCCTGCTGTGTTCCTGCTATGTTGCCCAGGCTGGTCACAAACTCTTGGGCTCAACAGTCCTGCTGCCTTGGCCTTCTAAAGTGCTGGGATTACAGGCATGTGCCACTGCACCTGGCCAAGATCTTTTCCTACTCATTAATATTATCACACATAGGTAGAAATAATGTATAATTCAATCTTATGAATGTGCAAACTTCTCTTTGCTTTTGATACTTCAGCTTCATCAAACCCAGCAGTCATCAAGATAAATTCAATTCTAGATATCGTAACAAAAGTGGAAGACTATTATCTTAAAGGATATGTTGTTGGGGCTATTCATCCTGTTATACAACCTGTGGGGCAGCGAAAACACCTACCTGCAAGTTACCTCTATAGAGTGGTGCTATCGCGCTTGAAATTAAGGTAAGCACGCTGCTCAAGAAAGAAGCAGGTGAGAGTGACTGTTCTCTTTGTCTAAAAGAAAAAGAAATTTTGAATCAAGTGACAGAGAAGAAAGGATACTTTGGGGTTTTAGTTTAAAGCACATTTTCCGGCAATGGAACCTGGATCGGAGCAAGGAAATTTACACCTCCTTCCTTAAAACTCCTGATTGATTTTTGCTTCTTGCAGACAAATGGGTCCTAAGTGAGGATGTCAATGAATAAAAGGAAAGCAAAATAGATTCCAGAGGTACCTGGAAGCTCCTGTAGGCACTTCAGCAGCTGCAGGGGTAGCAGTGAGCTACTGATATTATCACTAAGCTAAAGAGCTGACCAGACCTACCAGGTCCACTTTCACTAAACTTTCTAACAGTCCTGCATTGTTTTTTAATAGTGGTAACAGAAACTATCTCTACATTCTAAAGCTTTTTTTTTTTTTTTTCAAGACAGAGTTTCGCTCTTGTTGCTCAAGCTGGAGTGAAATGGCACGATTTCAGCTCACTGCAACCTCAGCCTCCAGGGTTCAAATGATTCTCCTGCCTCAGCCTCCCGAATAGCTGGGATTACAGGTGACTTCCACCATACCTGGCTAATTTTTTTATTTTTAGTAGAGATGGGGTTTCAATATGTTGGCCAGGCTGGTCTCAAACTCCTGACCTCAGGTGATCCACCCACCTTAGCCTCCCAAAGTGCTGGGATTACAGGCATGAGCCACTGGGCCCAGCTCATTCTAAAACTTTTAATAACAGAAAAACCTACCATGACAAGTTCTCACAAATTGGATAGACCTCTGCCCTTTTCCCAAAATAGAATTTAAAAGCTAACCATTGTAGTGTTTTCTATTTTAATAGCTACTTCTCCAAACAATACTGCAACCATTTTTGCCACCCTAGATTGTAAATTTGATGGTTTTCATAGTAAAATTCTGTTGCTCTTTCCAATGAAGAATAAAGATGACCGGACAAATATCTTAGATTAACACATTAAATTTTTTTACATAACTCTTCAACTAATATGTCACTTAATGCCAGGGATGCGTTCTGAGAAGTATGTCCTTAGGCCGTTTCATCATTGTATGGACATCATAGAGTGCACTTACACAAATCTAGATGGAACAGTTTACTATCACCGAGGCTATATGGTATAGCCCATTGCTCCGAGACTACAAGCCTGTACAGTCTGTTACCGACTGAATACTGTAGGCAATAGTAACACAGTAAAAAGTATTTGTATAGCTAAACATACCTAAAGATAGAAAAGGTACAGTAAAAATACGTTAATCTTATGGTCCTGCCACTGCATATGTGGTCCATTGTTGACAGAAACATCATTATGCAGTGCATGACTGTATATCAAAACCATCTCAAAGACCAGGGGAAAAACTGTGTTTTCTCTTTATTGTGATGGATCAACAACAATCACTTTATGAGAGGGCTAAGCAGAGAGGGGAAAATGAAATTAGAGGAAAACCAAGAAAATATGAAACTTTAAAAAAAAAAAAAAAAAAAAACAAGAAAGGACCTTAAAGGATTCCAGGTGTGCACACCTGTAATCCCAGCACTTTGGGAGGCCAAGGTGGGCAGATCACGAGGTCAGGAGATCGAGCCAATCTGGCTAACACGGTGAAATTCTGTCTCTACTGAAAATACAAAAAATTAGCTGAGCCTGGTGGCACACACCTGTAATCCCAGCTACTCGGGAGGCTGAGGCAGGAGAATCACTTGAACCCGGGAGGCAGAGGTTGCAGTGAGCCGAGATTGTGCCACTGCACTCCAGCCTGAGTGACAGAGCGAGGCAAGACTCTGTCTAAAAAAAGAGAAAAAAAAAAAAAATTCCAGGCGTGTTTTTAAGGGACACTGTCTCCCACGAAGTAATTGCATACTTAAACACGTCTGGTGGGGTGTACAGGCTTCAGCTTTCACTAAAATATAAAGCCTCATCAGATATTTACTAGTTCAAGCATTACTAAGCAAACATGGCATTTTTGGACAGTAGTAATGCTCATGTCCTAATTACAAATCTTATCAACCATGTGTGAATTATCTTTTCTGCTTTTAAAATTACTTCAGATAGACTTAGCAGTATCCTGGCAAGGCTAAGAATAAGCAAAGAAAAAAGATCAGAAAAGAAGAAAAAGGAAAAAGGGCAATATTTATTTGCATTTAACTAGAATTTTAACTTGTGCTTTTGTTCAATAAGCTATAACAACAATCTAAAATTATTTCTTATAACTTTTAGTAAAACAACAGACTTGAAGTTTTTCTTTCTTTCTAAGTTACAAATTAATAGCAGTTTAAGGAAATTTGAAGTTATTGTGTTAATAGAAGTTATTGTGTTTTTCTGGTATTTTTACGTAAGAAGATAGCCATCAGGCTTGAAATAACAAAAAACGATTACCTTGACCTAGTTTGTGAGTTGCTCACTCATTTTCACATGGGCATATTAGCTGAAAAGCAGCAATTGGCCTCAAATCATGAACCTATTCCCTCTGTTACAGCCCAAAGAATTCAGCAGCACCGAGTGGACAAAGACGCCCAAGGCTTGTGATTGAGGAATGTCCTCTAACTTCTGAGGCACAAACAAATGACGCAGCAAAAGAACTGATAGAAAAGGTACTAAATTTATGCACTTTTTCATGGGCTATTGAGAAACATTTGGTATTTCTTCTTTGTCAATTTTCTTTTTTACCCTAAGAAGAATAGGAAAATGAAAAAAAGAGAGAAATAAAAATAAAAATATGATAGAATATGTTAGGAAGAATTAAAAAAAGAAAAAAGAGAAATAAAGAATAAGAAAATGACAGGTAACTTTTCTACCAGAATTTAAAACATATTGAAGCACTTGTGCCAAATTGAAAAGAGTTTAAAACAGAAATACAGGCCAATGAAACAAAATGGACAACCAGAACTAAATTTAAACAAATATAAGAAGTTTAATGACAAACCTGATGAAATAAAATGGAGGAACAACCATTATTTAATGAATGCTGTTGGGAAAGTAGACAATTGCTCTGCAGAGAATAAATTCCACATTTCAGATGAGATAAAGAGGTAATTTTTAATATAAAAAAAGAAAATGAAGAGTAAATATATACAATGACTACATTAAGGAATTTGAGCATATAAATATAACTTAACTGTACTGGGAAAATTAAGCTTAAAAAGGAAGAATCAGGCCGGGCGCAGTGGCTCACGCCTGTAATCCCAGCACTTTGGGAGGCCGAGGCGGGTGGATCACGAGGTCAAGAGATCGAGACCATCCTGGTCAACATGGTGAAACCCCGTCTCTACTAAAAATACAAAAAATTAGCTGGGCATGGTGGCGCGTGCCTGTAATCCCAGCTACTCAGGAGGCTGAGGCAGGAGGATTGCCTGAACCCAGGAGGCGGAGGTTGCGGTGAGCCGAGATCGCGCCATTGCACTCCAGCCTGGGTAACAAGAGCAAAACTCCAACTCAAAAAAAAAAAAAAAAAAAAAAAAAAAAAGGAAGAATCAAAGGGAAATCTGCAACAGATGTGTCCTATGGGAGCTTCAGTTTCAAAATATACATCACAGGAAAGGAATACAAATCCATGAAAGTAATATGCAGTCTTAAATAGACAGACAGGGACCATGGACAGCAAATATAAAAGAGAGAAACATCAATAATTAGAAGACACTTGGTAACAGGTTCAACCTAATAATATTTAATGTAAATAAAAACTGAGAACTCACCAATGTTAAATCGGGAAATTTAATTAAAATCAAGTGTTGGCAAAGCTTTAAGAAAAGTTAAGTCCAGGTGTGGTGGCTCACACCTGTAATCCCAATACTTTGGGAGGCCGAGGTGGGAGGACCACCTGAGGTCAGGAATTCCAAGACCAGCCTAGGCAACCCCAGCTCTACAGAAACTGAAAAAAAAAATCAGCTGGACCTGGTGGCATGTGCCTGTAGTACCAGGTACTCAGGAAGGTAAGGCAGGAGGATCACCTGAGCCCAGAAGTGAGCCTGCAGTGAGCTGTGATCAACACACTGCCCTCCAGCCTGGGTGACAGAGCAAAACTCTATCTCTGATAATAACAATAATAAAAACAAAGAAAAGTTAACATTCATAATACAAGTGGAATTGTAACAAATTAATGCAATATTCTTGAATATCTGTTTAGTAAGAAGAAACATAAATCCTGTTTTGTTTTGTCTTGTTTCGTTTTCTTTGGAAAAAATAATCTGGAGTGCAGTGGTAAAATCATAGCTCACTGCAGTCTCAAAGTCTCCAACTCAAGCGATTCTCCTTCCTTAGCCTCCCTGGTAACTGGAATTGCAGGCATGTGACACCACACCCAGCTAATTTTTTTATTTTGTAAAAACAGGAGTTTGTGTTTCCCAGGCTAGTCTTAAACTCCTGGGCTCAAGCGATCCTACTGCCTCCCAAGTGCTGGAATTACAGGTATGAGCCACCACACCTCGCCGTGAATCCTGTTTTATGTTGTAATTCCCTCCTTAGGAATTTAAGAAAACAATTGAAGGCCAGGCGTGGTGGCTGATGCCTGTAATCCAAGCACTTTGGAGGCCAAGGCAGGCGGATCACCTGAGGTCAGGAGTTCAAGACCAGCCTGACCAACATGGTGAAATCTCGCCTTTAAAAAAAAAAACAGAAAGAAAGAAAAGAAAATGATTGAAAAGGGGAAAAATCATTTTTATACAAAGATATTTAATCAACAGTGAATAAGGGTCCAAATTCTCAATAACTGGAAGACTTTGAAAGAGATGATGGCAGATTAATATAATAGAGTATTTTACAGGCATTAAACATGACAACTATATTGACTGTCAAGATACAAAAATCTATACCATATAACTTAATTGAAACTTAACTGAAAAGTCGAATGCTATATGTATATTGATTAAAACAAAAAAGTTGTATATTCATAAATATTCTAAATTGATGGAATTTTATAGTGAAAGCTGTTTTTTTTTTTTTTTCCATTGCACTGACATATTTATAAAGTTTTACTTTTTATTTAAATACAGCTAAAATCTAAGGCATTTTCTTTTGGGTAAGAAACTGTGAAATATGTTCACTCGTTTCTCTTGTTACCTCCAAGTTTTAAAATACCATGTATGTATGATTATCTGCGGTTTGGGGATAGCCAGTTATAGTTGCTAATGATTATTTTCCATTTAGGTACAAAGTCACACTATTCAATAAGGGTTTTTAGGAAAACTCTGAGACTCAATTTGGAAACAAAGTATGCATATTGTTTATTAGTACTATTCCGGGAAATTTTTTTTCTGGTGATAAATCCACTCCAGCGAATTTATTTTGAAAACAGAAATGTAGCTACTAATTTAGTCTTAATAGATCACCATCAGAGCCCTTGTTTTGCATTTGACTTCCTGGACACAGTTGAAGATCTGTTTAAACAGGAAAGTGCTGTTATTTCAGCAATTCGAGTAACGGGGTTATTTCATTAAGAGAAAAGCTTCAGGAAACAGAGCACATGAAATATTTGACCATTGCTCCAGGCATGAACAAGAGCCATAGATGAATGCCAAATATTATTTTTGAGCGGCTGCCTTGTGTAGAGTTGGTTGTTGAACAGCTAACTTTTAAGTTCTAATATTATACCAGTGTTCACTCTAATTTTAAAATTAGGTTTCTCAGAATTTTAAACTAAAAATAACGTTTTAAAAATAACAATCCTCCAATTTGAAAAATGGAAAAAAACATTAATATTGTATTTGTTACCAGACTTTTCCAGATAAAATTTCCTAGTAACAGAAAAAAGCAGCCAGGCACAGTGGCTCATGCCTATGATCCCAGCACTTTGGGAGGCCAGGGTGGGCGGATCATGAGGTCAAGAGATCGAGACCATCCTGGCTGACATGGTGAGACCCCGTCTCTACTAAAAATACAAAAATTAGCTGGACGTGGTGGCGCATGCCTGTAGTCCCAGCTACTCGGGAGGCTGAGGCAGGAGAATCGCTTGAACTTGGGAGGCAAAGGCTGCAGTGAGCCAAGATTGCACTGCTGCACTCCAGCCTGGTGACAGAGTGAGACTCTGTCTCAAGAAAAAAAAAAAGAAAGAAAAAGAAAAAAGCTTTTCTGCATCTTTTCACTGAAATCAACTAATAAGACCTAGAGAAAGCACTGATAATAAATTCACCCATTTCTGCCTGCAGAATGCCATGTCTCTATCCCTCCTTCTTCTTGTCTCCCAGGACAACTGATATGAAGGAAAATTTGTGGTTATTTTAAATGGTTACAATCTCAATATGTTATTTCATGGTAATAAATGCTATTTCACCAGCCCTAATCCCTTGTCCTAGCTCCACACACCCACACTCTCTCCCACTTCTCAGAATTCTCCTGCTTCACTTTAATAACCTAACCTGGGTTAGCCGAACTGACTTCATCCTAGCTGCAAACCTAGCTTCCTCCTCCCTACCACAGCCCCTTTGGGTGCATAACTGGGCCACACTGACATGGTGCTTCTGTCACGCTGACTCTGTGCTTGTCCTACCATATAACCAATGTAACTGCATCCTGCTTGGCAAGCACACCTGCTATTGTGTATAACTCTCTTTGAACCCCTGTTGGTGATTGTTTGGAAATGCCCTTAGCGACCAACAATCCTGGGAACCTCCTCCCCGCTGATTACTAGCTAACTTGCCTGTTCTGCTTCTATAAAATTCCGATTCAGCTAGGTACCCTCTCCCCTACCTAAATCAAGGTATAAAGGAAAATCAACCCCCTTCCTAGGGCTGAGAGAACTTTGAGCATTAGCCATCTCTTGGTCACTAGCTAATAAATAGGACTCTTAATTTGGAACTCAGTGTGTGGCACATTCCTTCTAACTCGCTTGGTTATTACATCACAAGCTGGAGCTGAGTGAATTAAGTTATCCCCATTGACAGGGCATTGCTCTCTGTTCTGCCCCAGTTCCTCTTGGCTTTTCTCATTCCATTTCATTCTGACTCTAAATGTTTGCATTTGCAACCTCCATCATAATTCTCTCCTCTCCTTCCAGGTAACATTTAAAACATTTAATTTAAATGTTTAAAACAGTAGCCATATAAAAGACATTGCTATTTCTTCTTTTAACTAATTTAACAAGTACTTATACAGCACCTATGAGTACAAAACACTGCAATACAAGGATGAATAAGACATAGTCCCTGCCTTCAAAGGGGCTGCCAGTTGAACACATGAAGAAGACAAATAGAACAAAGAAATGAAGTAAAAGCAGAGAGGAACATGCCTTAGGTTTTTGGCTGTTATATTTAAATAAGAGTTAAATTTTACAGATATGTCAATGGGAAAAGTGCTGAGTGTGAAAATAAGCATTTAGTTCTCAAAAATTATTTCACTGGTATTATAGCATATGCATTAGAATCCTATTCTTTAACTGATAGGATTGAATCTAATCCTATGTATTTGGCCCAGATAGGAGACAATAGAATAAAGACATAAGCTGATCAGAAAGCTTTGTAAGAGTAGTGGTATGAATTGGGCTTATGCTTTATACCCACATGTTTGTCTAGAATCAGTCTTTTAACATTTTTCTTTGTTACCATCAAATAAACAAAACTATATGTTTTTTGCTTTTCAATTAATAAATCTCTTGTTTATTAATGAAGATGTATTTGGTAATGTTAGTTTTAGGGATTTCTTGGACTAGGTATTAATTTTGCTCCAACTGGAGACACCATTGTTAAATGGTCTGCAAAAATCATGCTACAGAATTATTAGTTCTTCCCAAACAGTGGTGCTTCAGAGAAAAAATAATTCCTGTTTTCATAATTTTTAAAGTATATTTGGTTCTGTTTGAAGGTCACGATGATCACGTGGCATGGTCTTGGGAGCAGTGCTATTTTACAGGTGATTAATTAGTTTATGAATGAGTTTTTTGTTACTGGTCAAGTTACTCTATATTCTAGTGGATTTCCTCAGTAAGCCTAAAGGTTAATTGATAAAGTAATCAATGAAAATAGAGCTTACATTTTATTCTGCCATTTTTTTAAATATCAGATTAATGTCGCTGCTAAAAGAGGAATGAAATTTGTTGGATTCATATCACAGCATTATTCTCCATCTAAATTCTGCAATGGAACCAACCATGATGGAGATATAGAATCAATGCTACATGTAAGACGTGGTTCAGATGAAAACTGTAGAAGTTGGAATGAAGGGACATTAAGTGGGCAATCATCTGAAAGTGGAATTGAAGAAGAACTTCATCATGAAAGTGGACAATATCAAATGGGACAAAATGGCAGCCCCAGTTCCTCTAAATCAAAAAAGGAAGAAGGTAATAGATACGATTGGTTGAAAGAAAAGATACTATAGTTTAAGCAAAATACATTTTTGAGGTTTTCTTTTAGAAATAGGAGGCAAAGTAAGTGGCTAAAGATTATAATGACCAAATGAACTAATGAAAACTTCTCATGATTTTTAAAAGTTATTACAGCCAGCAATAAGGCAGGGCAGTTTTTTAGACATTGGTGTCTGGCAGGACATACAATGCCATCCACATAATGAAACTTTGTGTTGAAGACTGGTTTCCATCTAGTCATAAAAAATTCCCTTGTAAATTGAAGGCTGTACATGTGTACTAAATAAGTGAGTCTATTAAGTTTAAAAAGCTGTTCTGATTTATGTTTGTACTAATAAACAGCGTGTGAGAATTTTTGTTTTGGCCTTTCCCACTTCATGGATGGTTTTCACCTTTGGAATTAATTGGCTTTCTTTGATCATCAACTAGAATATGAAACTGGCACATTGTGATGAAACAATTAATATAACAATAGTGCCTGCATTCTAAAATAACTTTGAACAACAGTTGTATTCTTCTGTGCCAGCTAGAAAGTTTTCCCAAGAAATTGAGAATATTTTATTTATGCATTTAGGACAATTCGAAGTTTTCTGATACCTTTGTGGGCATGCTTTTAAAAAAGCACTATCAGAGAAAAGCAAAGGCTACACATATGCTCTGGAATCAGATATCTCAATTTCTTTATAAAAAGAGGGTAATAGTAGGAATTTCCTCCTTGGGTTATTGTGGGAAGTAAATAAGAAATGTCTATAAAGTGCTTGACCCAGTGCCTGGCACAGAATAAACTCTATGTTAACTCCTATTAACTGATCCTTCAATCAGTCTTGACACTGGAGGAGCACGCCTTGGTAACAGGCTTTCTGGGTCATGTTTTGATGTGCTTAGCATCCTATACATGGCAGAGATTCATTTAGCCACATAAGCTGTACCTCCTGAAAAAATAACTAGGAGCATTTACCAACTTAGGTCTCACCCATCTCCACCACCACCACCATCATCCTCTTTTCTCACCTGTTCCCCTAGCTAACAACTTCCCTGATTTTTCTGCAATGTAAAAATAATAGGAATGTATATTAGTCTGTTCTCATGCTGCTAATAAAGAAATACCCAAGACTGGGTAATTTGTAAAAGAAAGAGGTGTTTAATTGACTCACAGTCCAGCATGGCTGGAGAGGCCTTGGGAAACTGGCAGTTATGGCAGAAGGGAAAGCAAACATGTCCTTTTTTACATGGTGACAGGAGAGAGAAGAATGAAAGACTAGCAAAGAGGGAAGCCCTTTATAAAACCATCAGATCCCGTGAGAACTAACTCACTGTCACTAGAACAGAATGCAAAAAACTGCCCCCATGATTCAATTATCACTACCTGGTCCCTCCCACAACATATGGGGATTATGGGAACTATAATTAAAGATGAGATTTGGGTGGGGATACAGCCAAACCATATCAAAATGTAAAAGTGAGCAAGAGATATTGGAATTATAGTAGGAGAGCTATTCACTATCTTCCACCCAGTTCTACCTTTAAACTCCATATGAGTTCCCACCCTCACTTTGAGCAAATCAGATGTCTATTTCTAGTCCTTTAAGTTCTAAATCCAATATAGTACTTAATGTAACTATCAATCATTAGATTCCTCTCTTCCTCTGTATTTTTAAACTATATACTTCTCAATAACATTTCTGTAGTAGTGGCTTTTAATTAGAGGAGGGAGAATGGGAGAATGCACAAAAGACCTTTTTGAGTATCTGGTGAAGTCCATGGAACCCAGATACTTTGGTCTGTCATACAGGTGATGTTAAACTTCCTAAAACAAAACCATAGATGTGGATCCTTTGACCCCAAGCTAAGAATTTGCTAATTCAAGGTATGATCCAGCATTTCCATATCTGTTCTAGAGTCAATCTCACACGTGTCCAAGGAGATATAAAGTTTATAATAACAAAAAAAATTGAAAGTAATGTATATGTCCACTAAAAGGAGAATAGAACATTGGCATTCTATGTAGCAGTTAAAATAAATGAATAAGGTCTTATGGTTATTTACATTTTAAAGGCCTGTTGAACAAAAAGTCAGTTCATATCTACAATAGGATACCTTTTTTAATGTTTTCAAACTGTAAAATGTTACATATAATTTGTGAGTATATAAAGATGTATTAAAATAATAAAAGCTTGCATGAGAATAATAAACATCAACTTCATTATAGTACTTATTTCTGGAGAATAGAATTAGAGGATACTACATAGTAGCCTCAACTGTATCCATTTCTCATTTCTTTGAAAAAGTAGGCTGAAGCAAATATAATATTGACATTTAATTAAGTTGAGTGCTTGTTTGTATGCTTGGACTATCTCATGACTAGTGAGAAAATTAAGAATCTTTAATCAATAAAATTATAATTTTCTCCTTTTTTCTCCTTCTGAATGCCTAGCCTCAGACAACAAATTGTATACAGTCTTCAATGTTTTTGATGATGATTCAGCCTCCTGGACCTATCAGGAAGGCATCCTGTCAATGAAAGTAACGAGAAAAGGATCAGTCATTAGCACACTTGATGCCGATTGGCTGGAATTAACTACATTTTATTATAAACAAGGCTTGTCTTTAATTGATTCTTTTGTATTCTGGGAAGCATCTAAAGGTAAGTTTTATGTTAATGATATTTTACATCTAAAGAATTTGAACTTGTATCAAAATCAGTGAAAATGTTTTTGCCTCCTAAGTTCTATGGCTGAAAGGACAGATATTATTCCTAAGGAAATAAATTCCAACTGTTACATAGATATGTAACTTTAATTTAAAAGCTTAAAGCTCCTTAAGCACAGTGGACACCCAGTGTGTGGGCAGAATTATAACATAAAATGTTCACTGTTGGGTTGTAATTGGGAAACCCCTGCATGATTTACTAGGAGAATTTTCCAAATAAGATGTATTATAATAGTCCAAATGGGAAGTTTATGAAGGCATTTCATGGTTACTATTCATATATATTACATTATCCCAATTTTGGACACTACCATGTGTATAGTCAGTCTATACCTGATTCTTTCTATAATTTGTATAGAAAAGTAATCTTTGGTTTAGAAAGTGATGTTGGCTCTGTTCTTATTTCTGTCTTCGTCTTGTCTTTCATCCCTCTCTAGCCTTTCTTATTTAGTTATAATGGAGTATGTAATCATTTGTGTCTATCATGAAAACAAAGACAATTAAAAATTCTCAAATATGACTTTCTAGGGAGATTTTTTAAAGATATGAGTGTTTTAAACAGAAGAAGAAAAGGTAGTAAGGAAACTAGAAAAATGCATTAGGAAAAATGAAGTTTACGAAAGCCAGGATAATTGGGAACCCTAACTCTATGAGGTTAGAGGAAAGCATGAAAAGCAAATAAGATCTCCCTGTACCTTACTATTGTTAAATCAGCCTAATATTACCTTAACTGATGCAACTAAAGACATTGGATGATACTTTAAATTATCAGGAGTCATGTTCCAATAGGCCCTTTTAACTAGCAATATTAAGGATCAAGCCCATTGGAGCACCCAGAAATACGACACCTTGCATAGTGCTTGGCACAGAGCAGGTGCTTAATAAATATTTCTTAGTATTTTTCAGTAGGCCAGTCATTGTGGCTCACACCTGTAATCCCAGCACTTTGGGAGGCCAAAACAGGCAGATTGCTTGAGTCCAGGAGTTCGAGACCAGCCTGGGCAACATGGCGAAACCTGATCTCTATAAAAAATACAAAAAGTTAGTCGGGCGTGATGACAGACACTTGTATTCCCAGCTACTCAGGAGGCTGAGGTGGAAGGATCAAGGCTGCAGTGAGCCGTGATTGTACCACCACATTCTAGCCTGGGTGACAGATTGAGACCCTGTCTCATATATATATAAATTAAAAATATTTATTAGTATTTTTTGGTTATTGGAAGCTTCTTCCAACTTGGCTTTTTATAGTAACAGCAAAGTTTCATAGGAAGAGCATGAGTTTTAGAATCAAACAGATCAAGGTTTAAATCCTATGTCTTCTACTTATTAGCTCTGTCATTTGGGAAGTTTCTTGAGCTCATTGAGCCCCAGTTTCCTAAAGAGGAATAAAAATACTCCTACTTTTAATTTTTGTGAGGATGTAATAAGATATAATAAATGTAAAGTGACTCCTATAATGCCTAGCCAACAGTCAGAGTTCATTTTCTGGCGTTAGTTTTCTTTCCTGCCACTTGTACTTGTTATGTGCAATTACAGTACTTTTAGTGTGGATCATCTATTTAGAGGTCGGTTTATGCTTCATAATCTCTTTCTCTCTCTCTCTTTCTCTTTCTCACCTGTTTCTCTTTTCTCCAAAACATCTAAGTTGAAGCCATTTCAAATTTTGGTGTGTGACTAACTGCTGAACAGAGAAACGAAACATACTCTTTTCGCAGTCTCTCTCAGGCACCCCTGCCTTGGGTCCTGCCTGATGAAAATAAAATTAGCCACAGCAGTTGCCAGCCAGGCTCTGTGTGGCTTTTGTTCTTAAAGCCTCAGAAGCTATTTAGAGAACCCCAGGGAGACTCCCTCTCTCAGCAGCTCATGGGGGGCGGGGGGATAGGGAGGGACACAGAATCTCCCCCTCTCAGCAGCTCTGGAATGTCTCATTAGACACTTGACATTACACACCATGACAAGCCCCTCACAAGCCACATCGGTCTGTGGGGTCTGCCAACTGGGCATGTCATTTGGGACTTTCCTGGGAGTACACAGGGAAGTTGCTGAGGGGAAATTGTGACCAATATCTGTCACTGTGAGAAGCAAGTCAAGGAAGCAGGGCTGAATTGGTGGCTTTGTTCTGGGACGTTTGATGCCTGACATCTAAAGCACATGGGGACGGGTGGTCGGGGCAGGCAATGCATATTTTTGGTCTTGTTTCTGTTCTCTTCCAAAATATTGTCAGAAGTTAGCCCACCATGAGGAATGGAAGAACAAAACCAGACAGTGCTCAGAAATTTAAATATATTACCCCACAAATCATGTTGAATAAAATGCCTCCCTCCAGAAACAGAGAGAAGGGGAACAAATGTTTAGAGAGTTTTCTACTTCAGCAGAGTCAGAGGTAAAAGTTGTAAGATCTGTGAAATTCCTTCTCAGTGCCTCTCCACACTCACTGTAACAGCCTTTTCTGCTGTGAAGCACACCCTGGGACACACAGGCACAATCACCCTTAAAGCGCCTACACTTCACCAGCCTCCAAATGCCCCACCGCCCCCAGAGCATAATCTTTCCGCACTTTAGCATATCACATCTAAAGCTACATTCTGATTTTTTTCTTTTTCTTTTTTTTCTTTTTTTTTGAGACAGAGTCTCACTCTGTCACCCAGGCTGGAGTGCAATGGTGTGATCTCGGCTCACTGCAACCTCCGCCTCCCGGGTTCAAGTAATTCTCCTGCCTCAGCCTCTCGAGTAGCTGGGATTACAGATGCATGCCACCACACCTGGCTATTTTTTCGTATTTTTAGTAGAGACAGGGTTTCACTATGTTGGCCAGGCTGGTCTTGAACTCCTGACCTTGTGATCCACTCACCTCAGCTTCCCAAAGTGCTGGAATTACAGGTGCGAACCACCATGCCTGGCCTTACATTTTGAATTTTTATGAATTCTTATCAGCCTTTACTTGTTATTCATTTCAATCTTTCCACTCCTGTAAAAATGTTTGTGTGGCGCTAGTGGAGGAGAGGTAGTACAATGAAGAGTAGGGATGGAGTAATGACATTCAAACGTCTCTTTACTCATTTCATATGTGCCAGGCCCCATGCCAGGCACTGGGTTTATAATACTCTTTCCTACTCTCAAGGCACTAGCTGTGTGGCATCAGGCAGTCAGGCAGTAAAAGTGTCAAAACATATACATCTAATTTCAAAACTAAGAAAATTGTGTGACATGACCGTAGAGGATATTATGGCAAGAGTACCAGGAAAGAATCCACTTCAAAAGGTGGTCAGGAGGTCCCCTCTGAGAAGGCAGCCATCACACTGAGACTAGGCAGCTGGAGAGGAGCAGGCCTGTGAGAACCATACATAGACCATTCTAGGCCAAAGAAACACATCTAAATGTACAAAGACCTTAGGGCAGGGAAGAGGAACTGGGAAAAGGTCTGTGTTTCTGGAACAAGGCAGGCAAGAGAATGCCTGTAGACACAGTGGAAGAGGTAAGCAGTAGCCAGTCCCTGTGGGGTCCTAAACAGGAAGAATGCAACGACCACAGCAAACACCTATTTTGTACTTTCTATACACCAGCGTTGTGCTAAGCACTTTGCATTCATCAACTCATTTAGTCCCCACAGCAACCTGTGAGGTAAAGATGATGATTTCCCAGTTTTTTAACTTTATTTATATATTTATTTATTTGTAGATAGGGTCTCACTCTCACCCAGGCTGAAGTGCAGGGGTACAATCATAGTTCACTATAGCCTTGAACTCCTGGGCTCAAGCCATCCTGCCACCTCGGCCTCCCGAGTAACCAGGACTCCTTGCACATCACCACGCCCAGCTAATCTTTTAAATTTTTTTTGTAGAGATAGGTCTCACTTTGCTACCCAGGCTGGTCTCAGACTCCTGGCGTCAAGTGATTCTCTGGCCTCAGCTTCCCAAAGTGCTGGGATTCCAGGCATGAGCCACCGTGCCAGGCCATGCTTATTCTCCTTTTACATATGAAGGAACTGAAGCACAGAGATTTTAAATAAGGTGCCCGCGTTCACATAACTGGAAGGTGGTGGAGCCACCTAAATAGAGTGTGTGCTTTTACCAAGATATTTATTCCAATTCATTCATTCAAGATTTAAAGACCGAATCATGATCTCATTTGCATTTTTTGATTGAAGAATTTCTGGCTGGGAGCTGTGGCTCATGCCTGTAATCCCAGCACTCTGGGAGGCCAAAGCGGGCGGCGGTCAGGAGTTCGAGACCAGCCCAGCCAACATGGCAAAACTCCGTTCTCTAATAAAAACACAAAAATCAGCCAAGCTTGATAGGCATCTATAGTCCCAGCTACTCAAGAGGCTGAGGCAGGAGAATCTCTTGAACCCAGGAGGCAGAGGTTGCAGTGAGCCGAGATCGTGCCACTGCACTCCAGCCCGGGCAACAGAGTGAGACAGAAAGGGAAGAGAAGGGGAGGGGAGTGGAGGGGAGGGAAATTTCTTTGTCCTCATTATGAGAAATGGATTAGAGGGCAAGAGTGGAAGTTCGGTGGGGAAGCTGCTAAGAGGCTGTTGCAATGGTCCCTAGAGAGATGATGGTGGAGATAGAAAGAAGTGGATAGGCTAAGATTGCTTTTAGAGTTATCATATGTGTCTGCCCTCTACTTCAAAGATGGTCCTGGGCCCACCTCTGGTGGGCAGTTGAATACCAAAAATGACATGGTAAACAAAATACTAAAATGGACTGTTACCTCTCTGCACCTTTACAGGAATGTCAATGTCATATCTAACCAAAAGACAAGATATATCCAGAAAAGTAAACTATTCTCTGGGAGCCCTTCAAACATGTGCTTTCCAAACCAGGGTTCAAGTACCCTCAGGATATGCAGCCTTGTGCCAGGGAGCACACAAGTTCACAAGTTCGCAGGCTACAACTCTTCCTGGAGCGTCAATATTACTTTAAGATTGAGTGGCTTTTACATAAGATGAATATATTTGAAAAGAATGGGCCACCACAGTGGCTCCTGCCTTTAGCCCTAGTACTTTGGGAGGCCAAGGTGGGAGAATCCCTGGAGGCCAAGCGTTTGAGACCAGCCTCGTGGTAGAGGGTCTTCCCTCTGTGTTGATGGCAGCTGACTGATCAGAGTGGTGGTTGCTAAAGGTTGGGGTAGCTGTAGCAATATTTAATTTAATTTTTTTCACTTTTGAGACAGTCTCACCCTGTCGCTCAGCCTGGAGTGGAGTGATGTAATCTCAGCTCAGCTCACTGCAACCTCTGTCTCCTGGGTTTGAGCAGTCCCACCTTGGCCTGTTGGGTAGCTGGGACAACAGGTGTGCACCACCATACTGGCTAATTTTTGTACTTTTTTTTTTTTTAGAGACGGAGTCTCACTATGTTGCCAGGCTGGTCTCGAACTCCTCAGCTCAAGTGACTCATCTGTCTCAGCCTCCCAAAGTTCTGGGATTACAGGCATGAGCCACTGCGCCTGGCCAGCTGTGGCAATTTCTTAAAATAATACAGTGAAATTTGCTGCATCAATTGGCTCTTCCTTTCATGAAAGATTTCTTTCTAGCATATGATGCTGTTTGATGGCATTTTAACCACAGTAGAACTTCTTTCAAAATGGGAGTCAATCCTCTCAGCCCCTGCCACTGTTTTATCACCTAAGTTTATGTAATATTCTAAATCCTTCTTTGTCATTTCAATAATATTCACAGCATCTTCATCAGGAGTAGATTCCATTTTAAGAAACCACTTTCTAGGCTGGGCACGGTGGCTCACACTGTAATCACAGCACATTGGGAGGCCAAGGCGGGAGGATCACTTGAGGTCAGGAGTTTGAGACCAGCCTGGCCAACACAGTGAAACCCTGTCTCTACTAAAAATACAAAATTAGCCAGAAGTAGTGACATGCCTGTAATCCCAGCTACTCGGGAGGTTGAACCCAGGAGGCAGAGGTTGCAGTGAACCGAGATCATGCTATTGCACTCCAGCCTGGGCCACAAGAGCAAAATTCCATCTCAAAAAATAAATAAATAAAAATACAAAAACTAGCCATCATGGTGGTATATGCCTGTAGTCCCAGCTACTCAAGAGGCTGAGGCACGAGAATCGCTTGAACCTGGGAAGTGGTGGTTACAGTGAGCTGAGATCATGCCACTGCACTCCCGCCTGGGCAACAGAGTGAGACTCCGTCTCAAAAAAAAAAAAAACAGAAGGAAAGAAATCACTTTCTTTCTTTGCTCATCCATAAGAAGCAACTCGACTCCTCATCCATTCAGGTTTTACTATGAGATTGCAGCAATTTAGTCCTATCTTTAGGCTCCACTTCTAATTCTAGCTCTCTCCCCATTTTCACCACATCTGCAGTTACTTTCTCCACTGAAGTCTTGAACCCCTCAAAGTCACCTGCGAAAATTGGAATCAACTTTTTTCAAACTCCTGTTCATGTTGATATTTTGACCTCCTCCCATGAATCACAAATGCTCTTAAAGGCATGTAGAATAGTGAGTCCTTTCCAGAAGGTTTTTAATTTATTTTGCCCAGATCCATCAGAGAAATCACTATCTGTGGCAGCTATAGCTTTACAAATTGTATTTCTTAAATATACGACTTGAAAGTCAAAGTGACTCCATGATCCATGGGCTGCAGAATGGGTATTGTGTTAGCAGGCATGAAAACATTAATCTTCTTGTGTATCTTCATCAGAGCTCTTAGGTGAGCAATTACATTGTCAACAAGCATAATATTTTGAAAGGCATCTTTTTTTCTGAGCAGTAGGTCTGAATAGTGGGCTTAAAATATTCAGTAAGCCATGCTATAAACAGATGTGCTGTCATCAGGCTCTGTTTTCCATGTCTAGATCATAGGCAGAGTAGATTTAGCATAATTCTTAAAGGTCCTAGGATTTTTAGAATAGTAAACGAGTATTGGCTTCAACTTAAAGTCACCAGCTGCCTTAGATCCTAACAAGAGAGTCAGCCTGTACTACAAAGTTTTGAAGTCAGACATTGACTTCCCCTCTCTAGCTATGAAAGTCTCAGGTGACATCTTCCACTATAAGATTGTTTTACCTACACTGAAAATCTGTAGTTTTGTGTAGCCACCTTTATCTGTTCTCTTAGCTAGATCTTCTAGATAACTTGATGCAGCTTGTACATCAGCACTTGCTCCTTCACATTGCAATTTCATGTTATGAAGACGGCTTTTTTCCTTAAACTTCATGAACCAACCTCTGTTGGCTTCCAACTTTTCTTCCACAGCTTCCTCACCCTCTCTCAGCCTTCATAGAATGGAAGAGAGTCAGGACCTTGCTTTGGATTAGGCTTTGGCTTAGGGACTGCTTGTGGCTGGTTTGATCTTCCATCCAGACCACTAAAACTTTCTCCATATCATCAAGAAGGCTGTTTTGCTTTCTTATCATTCATTCACTTTTATTTTCCTTCAAGAACCTTCCCCTTACATTCACAACTTGGCCAACTGACACAAGAGGGCTAGTGTACCGCCTGTCTCAGCTTGGAAATGTCTTCCTTGCTAAGCTTAATCACCATTCCCAGCTCTTGATTTAAAACGAGAAACTTGTGACTCTTCTTTTCACTTGAACATCTAGAGGCTGTTTCAGGGTTATTAACCGGCCTAATTTCAGGGAATGGGGGGGCTCAAGGAGAGAAAGAGAGATGGGGGAAAGGCAAGTGAGTGGAGCAGTCAGAACCCCCACAACATTTCTCAGTTAAATTCACCATTTTATATGGGCATGATTCCCAGTGGCCCAAAACAATTACAATATTAACATCAAAGATCATTGATCACAGACAACCATAACAGATAGAATAATAATGAAAAAGTTTGAAATACTGCAAGAATTACTAAAATGTGACACCAAGACATGGAGTACATGCCTTTGGAAAAATGACACTGATAGACTTGCTCAGTGCAGATTTGGCACAAACCTTCAATTTGGGAAAAAAAAAAAAAAAAAAGTATCTGCAAAACACAGTAAAGCAAAGCACGATAAAACAAGGTAGGACTGTGCTAGCACATCCCAATACTGAGAGCGAGAAAAAAGACCTGGAGCCACAAAGCCCAGCGTTTTCATGTTATTTACTCCCAAAGTAAGAAAGAGGCAGATTATAATTAACTATGTAATTATCACAGCATACAACTGTTTTAAAACACATACATCTAAAAGGGAACTTGAGACACGTACAATTGTAAAGATGATCTAGTGATGCCCTAAACTTTCAATCAGGAACAAATTTGATTCCACTAGTCCCTTCGGTGAGACGGTAGATAAGTATGTTTAAAGGAAATGAAATATATATTTTAATTAGAAAACCAATTTCAACTAGGGAACTAAACTTTACCGGGTTCTTGGTAACCACTCTGAACAATGCAAATTCTTCATGATATTCTGCCCTAACCGTGACTGATGTCAAAAAATAATAATAATGATTTTTTTCTCTTAAAATGTATAGCCTGATAAAAATTAAAACAGAAAATTACATTGAAATTACTTTTGTCTTTTTTTATCTTTAAGCTTAAAAGATCATTTGAAAACTTTGCAGGGCTTTAAAATTTAGATCTGTCAACCGGGGGAAACTTTGATGTGACATTGCGCTGCATAAAAAACAAAATGTTTAACCAGCACATGGCCATGGGAAAAAGTCTCCTATAGCAAAACAGGAGACAAAAGAACTTCCATAAAATCAGTTTCGTGTAGGCCAGCTGGTTATTGTCGACTATTCAAGAAAAAGTCAGAGAGGCCCTCCCTTAAAACTTCCTTCCCAGCAGGAATTCTTTTGACAATGACTTCTGTTTAGGGTCTTCCTGTCCCTGTTTTTCTTTTTTAAGCCTATCATTGAGGTAAAGAATTGTTCAGTGTTCAGGTCTTTTGAAGTAATCTTACCTCGCATTAATTTTAATATCATGCCTTTAATTTCAAATATTAACATTTTTATGTTTTTTCTCTTAATGATATAATTAACATGCATGCAACGTATAGGTCCGAAACCAAGAGACGATGACTTCCAGATGCCTTTTAGGTTGATTTTCCACTTGCTTCTCACTCTACCATATTATTTTATCTTGTTTTTGCTATTACAGTTTTTATGTGTATAGTTGGATTTTAATTCAATGAAGTAAAAAAAAAAGTATTGATCTTTGGGGAAAAAGAAAAACTTTCAAAGAACAGGAAGATATTATTGATTTAGCCAAAACAAATGTTTTTAATTGAAATGTTTTTCCTTCAGTTTCCTATAAGGGTTATTTAAGGATTTAGACGGTTTTACGAGCCACTTAGTATTTACAACCCTTCTTAATTGAATCCTCTTCCTCACAGGGGAACATTTGCCTAAATCTTTGGAAGGATTTTTTATCTATGAAGAAGAAGGTTCTGGAGTTCCAGGTTCTAGTAGGAAAGGAAATGATGCCATCGTAGTAGAACAATGGACTGTGATTGAGGTAAGCTGCACTTTTCTGACAATTTAGCTCTACATATATAAATGTAATACATAGTATGTAAATTATATATATATGTATATATATTTGGTTTGGGGTGGGTTTTTTTTATATAGGGTCTTACTCTATCACCCTGGCCATAATGTAGTGCCTCTATCACAGCTCACTGCAGCCTCAACTTCCCCTGGCTCAGGTGATTGTCTAACCTCAGCCTCCCAGGTAGCTGGGACTACAGGTGTGCACCACCACACTCAGCTAATTATTCTGTATTTTTTGTACAGACGAGATCTCGCCATGTTGCCCATGCTATATATTTTATTTTACATGCTAAAGATCTTCATTGCCTGGCACATGCAGTATCCTTAAATGTATATTTGTTTAGTGTTTAAAATTTCATCACAAATGCATGAACAAACTTCTTTCAGATTTGTGAAAAGGTGATTTGCTTTATCCAGTGTTAAATGTTTTTGCAAGATAGAAAAATAATTATCTATGCATAAATAGCAGTAGGTTCCCAGAAATTTTAAGCCAAAAAACCATCCCCTGGCACTGTGATTTTCTTTACAACATTCTGTCACAACTGATTGAAAGAAAACAATCCAGACACTCACCTAGTGTTTTATCTACAATCAACCAATGTGACTGAGTTTTTTTTTTTAACCTTATGAATGACTTTCAAAGGCAAAAATATCCAAAAGATGTTTTCTCTCTCACCAGGCCAAATATATACACACAGCATTGTCCTTCACAATCAGAGATGACATTGCTGCTGATACCCTGAATTCAGATGTCACCGAATGGACTGCCCTTGAGGTGCACACACTGAATTCAGGTATATTCTGTTGTGTGTATGAGGCCCTCCCTGACAGGCCCTTTCAGGGAACCTTTTGCCTTTCTGACCTTATACAGGTTAAAGAGACATAGCCCATTTTCAAAGAAACTAGAAAATCCATTGAGTGGGGAAAAAGGATTTGGGCGAAGACGTAAAGCTCCAGACAAAACTCAATTCCAAATTGAGTAAAAAGCATGAAAAGACTCCCCACACCCAAGCGCCCCTCACCTTCAATACCTCAATTGTCACTCCCCACTCTTGTCCTCACTTCCTAGTCCCTAGACCAGTGTTTCTGAAAATGTGTTCTGGAAACTCCTTGGATCCAAATCCCCTATGGCACTCATGTTAAAATTCAGACTCTCCCTGGCACAGCGGCTCACGCCTGTAACCCCAGCACTTTAGGAAGGTGAAGTAGGAAGATAACTTGAGACCAGGAGTTCAAGACCAGCCTGGACAACATAGTGAGACCCCATCTCTACAAAAAAATTAAAAAATTAATCAGGCATAGTGTCGTGCACCTGTAGTCCCAATTACTCAGGCGATTGAGGCAGGAGGATAGTTTGAGCCCAGGAGATCAAGATTAAAGTGAGTTATGATTATGACACTGCCCACTAGCCTAGATGCAGGCGCGAGACTCTCTCTCAAAATAAAATATAATAGCCAGGCACAGTGGCTCACACCTGTAATCCCAGCACTTTGGGATCATCTGAGGTCAGGAGTTCGAGACCAGCCTGACCAACATAGAGAAACCCTGTCTCTACTAAAAATACAAAATTAGCCAGGCATGGTGGCACATGCCTGTAATCCCAGCTACTCAGGAGGCTGAGGCAGGAGAATCACTTGAACTCAGGAGGCAGAGGTTTCTGATGAGCCATGATCACACCATTGCACTCCAGCCTGGACAACAACTACAAAACTCTGTCTCAAAAAATAATAATAAAATATAAATAAAATATAATAAAATGTAGATTTCCAGCTCCCCAATCCCATATATTAAATTTCAAGAACCACTGCCCGAACAAGACCAAACTTCCAACAACCAGACGGAACCTTCTCTCCATTACCAGTGTTTCTAACTCAGTTCAGTGATTAGAAGGAAGCGGAGCAGAACATGAAGCCCAGGAAGGCTGCAGTGATGAATGTGAACTCCCCTCATCCTAACACGCATCACCCTTTGTTGTAACTGTGTAGTTGGTTGTCTTTGCTATTAGACTATGAGCTCTTATGCTTATTCATGCAGGGATGTGAAATCAAAACAGATTATGGCCCTCTGCTGCACACTCTGGCTGAATTTGGATGGCTTCTGACAAGCGTGTTGCCCACACCTGTATTAAGACATGACAGGTAAGGCAAAAGCATTCTTACATACTCTCATTTAATTCTAAGATATACTTTCACTTGTTAGATAATTCAGTTTAACAAATATTTGTTTAATGCCTACAAAAAAACATTTCACTGAGCTTCTAATTTGATTTTATAGACCATGGAGTTTAGTAAATTCAGTATTTGGCATTATAGATGTATAAGCTGTTAGGCTCTGCAGCACAAATGCAAAACTGTCCTCACCTCAGCACACAGCCAGGTTTAGGACACAGTAGGGTTCCAGGGCAAGCAGCATGGAGGAGCGCTTCTGCCACCTCCCCTCCAGTGTGGTGAGTTAGTTCCCCTCAGTAGCTGTTTCCATTAAAATAAATAACTGCAGTAGAACCAAATGCCAATATTCACAAGTACTAACTTTCCTTTCCTTTTCCTTTTCTTCTTTTACCAACTTTCTTGGAAAGGAAAAATTGAGTCTTACTTTTTTGAGACAGAGAAACAGAGACCAAGTAAGTCATTATGTAAAATGCTTTGCTATTCCTGGGACCCAGAGATGTGTCCTCTGCCTGCGTAGGCATCCAGGAAATGACTGACTGCCAAAGCTGTCCTGCCTGGGCAGGTGACTACCTGCAGAGGACAGTGCAGCACCCACTGGGCCTTCCCTTTTAGCAAAGTCAAGTATGCGTTAACATTCTGAGTGGTTGTCAGCTGCCACTAAGGAAGGCAACTTCCCCTTCCTTAGTGTAACCCACTTCACTCACCTTCTCTGGACTTCCTGGTTTAGCAATTTAGCCCTGTCCAGTATCCCAATACCCTCAACATTTAAAAACCTTTGATTGGCATGGCTTTATCTTAAAAGCCACACCTTCGTCAGGTAGGAAAAGGAATTAGGTGGATATAAAGTTAAGACACTCAAGCTTAAAGAACAAAAAAGGAATGTTTGAAATAAGCAAATCAATTCATCTACTTCCCAGAGCTCTGTAGTAACTGTTCTCAAATTGAGTGATGACTCCTGAAGCATGATTTCCTAACCTTTTCTACTCTGTGACGTACCTGTCATATAACAGAACAGTAGTAATTCTCAAGATTCAGTCTTCATGAAACGAGAGAATTCCCTGACTCCCTTTGCAGGACATGGACAAGGGTGTGGCTTGTCTGTTCAGCGGCTGTGTGCTCAAACCCCTTACGGGAGGGGGAGCACACAGATGGGCAGGTGCAGGAGCTGGGGCAAGTGCTTTGGGGCTCCCGCCTCATGGTAGCATCTAGGGGTGGGTGCCTGCGACTCCCAAAGCCCAAGTAGGCATGTGTTACAGTGCTCTTTCAGCTTTGCCATCTGCAGACAGCTGAAATGTTAACCAGCTTAGTGTCCTTTCGGTACCTAGGTCCTTGTCCAGGGTCCAGGAAGAATCAAGTTGCACAAAGAGTTGAGGATGGTGATTGTGGAGGTTTTACTGAGGGTGGAAGTGGGATGGAGTGGGAAGATGATCATCTGGAGTTTGACCATCCAGCAGCCAATCTCTTCTCCAACCATCTTCAGCCAAGCTCCTCTCAGCATTCAGATGCTCCTTCTCCTCTCTGCCATGCCATTCTGAATTTTAAACTTTAGAAATCAAATCTAAAAGGCAAAAAGGCAATCAATAAATAAAAGCATGTGGAAGCTATGCACAGTTTCTGGCCCTGATGGAGCTTTTGAGCTGGTTAAGCTTACATTTCATGCATAGTAAACGAGGGGCTTCCATTCTGGTCAGGGTAGATCAAGCTTATGTATTGGTCTAAGCAACACACTTCGGGTGTCACTGTCTTCCATTGCCCCGAGATGGGACTGTCTAGTTGCAGGGAAAACAAGCTCAGGGTTCCACTGATTCCACATTGTGGTGAGTTGTGTAATTATATCATTATATATTATAATGTAATGATAGAAATAAAGTAGAGAATAAACATAAAAAAATAATAATAATAATAATACAGTAAATCATCAGGCTGGGTGTGGTGGCTCACGCCTGTAATCCCAGCACTTTGGGAGGCTGAGGCAGTAGATCACCTGAGGTTGGGAGTTCAAGACCAACCTGACCAACATGGAGAAACCTCGTCTCTACTAAAAATAAAAATTTAGCTAGGCGTGGTGGTACATGCCTGTAATCCCTGCTACTCTCGAGGCTGAGGCAGGACAATCGCTTGAACCCAGGAGATGGAGGGAGCAGTGAGCCAAGATCACGCCATTGCACTCCAGCCTGGGGAACAAGAGTGAAACTGTATCTCAAAAAAAAAAAAAATGCAGTAACTCATCAAGGGCTAGATGAGGTGCCTTAGTCTATAGGTTCTACAGGAATATTAAAAAGAAGAGACATTTTAAACTGTCAAAGTTAGATAGGATCTTCAAATACTAAAGAGATTAAAGGGCAGCATCATCACTAGTTAGCAGATTTCTATCTAGGAATATGCTCATAACTCTGTATAGAAGATAGCGGAAAAATGTAATTTTAACAGCAATTGCCCTTATGCAACAAGGCACACTACAACACACAATGTCTACTCTTCTTTTGTATGCCAAGGAACATTGTGTAATATTGGTGTTCATTTTATTCCTTTGCATTTTATAATTTGGGTCCTGCCAAGTGCCTGCAACACAGGAAATATAGGATGAAGGTAAAAGTTCATGGTCATTTGGTAACAAGCATTGTTGGTAAAGCTTGTTTATCCTCTGCCTTTTTATTCTTTTACAAATATATTGTCCCTATGACCGTTACATGATGTTCTTGGCTGCTTTAGTACACACAATGATGGGAATCACTGTCAATTATGTAGTCTTTAAAAATAAAGAAAAACATTATATACAGTTGACCTTGGTCAAGGTAGAGGATAGAGCGTGAAGTTTTTAGTCTCTGAAACTAGAAGAGTGGTTAGGAGCCCAGGCTTTGAAGCTAAGCAGATCTTGTTTTAATTATAGCTTCATCATTGTCTAGCTGTATGATTGGGGCAAGTCATCTAAACTTTTTAAGATAAATTTCCTGGCCAAGCGCAAGGCTCACACTTGTAATCCCAGCACTTTGGGAAACTAAGGCAGGCAGGTCTGGGGTTTAGGACATTGAGACCATCCTGGCCAACACGGTGAAACCCTGTCTCTACTAAAACTACAAAAAAAATTAGTTGGGCATGGTGGGATGCACCCGTAGTCCCAGCTGCTCCGGAGGCTGAGGCAGGAAAATCACTTGAACCAGTGAGGTGGAGGTTGCCGTGAGCCAAGATCGTACCACTGTACTCCAGCCTGGGCGACAGATGACAGAGCGCAACTCCATCTCAAAGAAAAAGAAAAGATAAATTTCCTTATCTGAAAAATGGTACAATAATATCAACTTTAGTGGATTATCACAATGGCTAAGATAATACATGCAAAGTACCTATACAGGGCCTGAGCATATTAGGCTAATGTTTTGGGACCTAATCCTTAGCAGAACCAAAATTTCTGGTAAGTTGAAACTAATGTTCAGGCATGATAGCTTGGCCTATCCTAAATCAGGATGTTTCAGAAAATGTAAATACTGTAGTTCACTATGTAAAAAATCGTCACTGAAGAGGACAAGGCAATAAAAGCAACAGAAATACAGAATGATATTATTATGATATCTGCTTTCACATATTCTCATATCCAGAAAAATGAATGTCTATCATCATCTTTCTTTTGTGGCTCACATGTCAAAAACATAACTTAAAACTACTGCCAGTGAAAACGTTCTTCCTTATATGTGTTTGTCTTACATGTAACAATAGAGTCTTAAGTAATTTTAACATTTATGTGGCATAAAACACTCAAATAGAAAGTACATAAAATGCAAGCCAGGTGTGGTGGCTCACATCTATAATCCCAGCACTTTGGGAGTTTGAGGCAGGCGAATCCCCTGAGGTCAGGAGTTCAAGACCAGCCTAGCCAACATGGCAAAACCCTGTCTCTACTAAAAATACAAAACTTAGCCGGGCATAGTGTCGCATACCTGTGGTCACAGCTATTTGGGAGGCTGAAATACGAGAGTCGCTTGAGCCAGGAGGCAGATGTTGCAGTGAACCAAGATTGCACCACTGCGCTCTAGCCTGGGCAACAGAGTGAGAGTCGGTCTCAAAACACACATGTCTCAAAACACACATGTGTAAGCTTCCAGAAGCAGACTTGCTGGGTCACAGGGCACTTCTTTAGCTTTGTTAGATAAATACCAGATTTTTTTCAAATAGATTGTTTCCATGTACACTCCTATTAGCAGAATGTCAGAGACACCATTGCCTCAACACAAAATACTATCATAGTTGTAAATTTTGCCATTCTGATTAAGACTATATAGTCTGATCTCAGTCTGACTTTCATTTATAGTTTCCTAATTACTGTAATTTCCTAATTACAAATGTGTGAGATTGGGCACATATGTTTATTGGCCACTTGGATTTTTCCTTCATAAAGTATCTGTTTAAGTGTTTCTGCCCACATTTAAAATTCTAAGGTGTTTGTTTATTATTTGTTTTAAGACATAGTCTCATTCTGTAGCCCAGGCTGGAGTTCAATGGCATGATCTCCACTCACTGCAACCTCCACCTCCTGGGCTCAGGCAATTCTTCTGTCTCAGCCTCCCAAGTAGTTGGAATTACAATCACTCACCACCATGTCTGGTAATATTTTCTTTTCTTTTCTTTTCTTTTCTTTTTTTTTTTTGAGTTTTTTTAGAAGAGACAGGGTTTCACCATGTTAGCCAGGTTGGTCTCAAATTCCTGACCTCAGGTGATGCTCCTGCCTCAGCCTCCCAAAGTGCTAGGATTACAGGCGTGAGCCACCATGCCCGGCCTAAAATTCTATTCATAAGACCAGGCACAGTGGCTCACATCTGTAATCTCAGCACTTTGGGAGACTGAGCTGGGAGAATAGCTTGGGCCCAGGAAATCAAGACCAGCCTAGGCAACATAGCAAGACCCATCTCTATAAAAATTTAAATTTTAATTTTAAAAATTTCTACTTATAACTTATTTAAGTATAACAAATAAAGAGT